AACATACTGTATTGGCAGCCTTGAGTTCATTGCAAAACATTCTTGGTAATTTTATACAGAAGTTGTAACTGTTTATTTTTCATTGTGTTCTCAATAAGAGATGATTGCTTGGAGTGGGACAGAATTAGAAATCAACAGATGCACTGACATGTATAACTGTCGTCATCACTGATATGCTTTGTACTATATACTCAGTACACATTATTCAACTGTAGGATTCTCTATAGCATCCCTGGTTTCAACTGTTTCTTATGCATACCTGAACTTCCTATGCTTGTGCCACTGGTTTTCATTTCTTACTTCCTGCCATGTCCAACATTTGGATCTTTTTTTTACCATACTTCTCTCACACATATATTTTCTCTCATTCTTGTTTCTGCTAAGAGGTGAGGTACAGAGGTTTATGGGAAAGTCTCTGTATATGATTGAGTTCTTCTCCCAAAACTATGTGATATTAAGCCTTGGTCAGCACACAAACCTCCCTTTCAGGATATCTGTTCTATTGTAATTTATAAGTCATCAACACTCTATGGCATTGAAGAATAAATTACTAAATTCTGTGTTTCGAATCAACATTGCCATTTATTTACAGGAAATTTTCTGGTCCCAAAACATAATGACAATGTTTTACTTGTTTTTCCATTCTAATGAATATAAATACTTTATGTGTAAATTTAATTACTTGGCCAAGTTTTTGCATTTCTTGAGAATTTAGGATATTAGACAATGCAATTTCCAAACACATTGAATCTATCATCAACTTAGATATAATCTTGACTACATGAATGAGTCTACTAGTTCTTTTTCCTTCCTCTCTCTTGTTTTTATCAGTCTTCTCTTGCATTCAGTGATATTATCTGGTTTTTGAATAAATAAAAATTAGAACTATCCTTTGATCAATTTAGGAATGGCTTTTCTTCAGTATTCCCCTTTGCAAGGCCTTTGTATGTTTGAAAAACAACAAGGCAACTGGAACTCATTGGCCGCTTTTTGGTTCTTTCTGCTTTACATTTTATGTTCTTAGATTGTCTGATTTTCTTTTGTAGGTGTATATATAAGCAAGGGCCAGAGGAATGTTTCTATTTTTCTCATCTTTGTATTTTTTGGTACTAGAGTTTGAAACTAGGACTTTATACATTTTAGGTAAGCTGTCTATCACTGAGCTACATTCTCAGCCCTTTTTATTTTACTTTATTTTGAAAGCGTCTCACTAAGTTGCCTACGCTGGTTTTGAACTTGTGATCCTCCTGCTTTACCCTCCTGAGTAGCTGGGATTACAGGCTTACACCACCATACCTAGTAGCTTCTTCTCTTCTCAATATCACATATATAACTGTGAACCTACCTCATTTTTATATTTAAATGCTGTAAATGTCTTAGCAGCAGCAATTTGGTGACTATTTCCATTTTCTTCCTGACAGTTTAGGACAAAGAAAGTTCTGAAGGGGGAATGATGGCAATCTGACAAGAGTTGAGCATACATGTTGGGAACTAGGAAGATGCAGCTAAAGTATGGCCAGAGCCTGGGAGGCAGTTGAAGCAAGTAAGAGTCCTGAGTGTTTTCAGGAAAGAGCGGGACTTCCTAAGTAGATCGATGTTCAGCAGAGGTTTTGGGAAGAAGCTCAGAAGACTTGGAGACCAGTTAAGAAACTTCTGGAAATTCATGCATGGAGTGACCCCCTTTCTATGCCCATTGACCATCTGGAGCCAGCGGCCCTGGCTGTGCTGGCTATGACAGATCAGAACCAGCCCAGCTGTCTGATACCCATACAGTGATGTCAGTGTGTTTCCTATCACATTGACAGTTACAGCACAATCCTTTATAAATGGAGAAAGGGAACACAATGTTAAAAGAAAGAACACTTTATCAGGCTCACTCCCTTTTCTCCTTACATCACTATAGTTGACTCAGCAACTCTAGCCTGCCCCGAGACACTGTCTCCACATTATCTACTTCCACTTGTGCAGAGGCTGATATGACTCAGCGCAATGTTTTCAGTCTGGGGACATCTTAGGGTTGGGTATGAAACCGATATGATTGTTAACACAACTTGATGATTTGAAAACTCATCTCTCTTTGAAGTGTATATCAGATATTTTCAACCATCCTTCTTTCAAAGTAATTTTTTTTGGTGGTAGTGGGGATTGAACTCAGGGAGCACTAAGCCTACATCCCCAACACTTTTTAAAGTTTTTTTTTTTTTGAGACTGGGTCTCATTAAATTGTTCAGGCTAGCCTTGAAATCCTCCTCCCTCAGCCTCCAGAGTAGCTAGGATTACAGGTGTGCTCCACCGTGCGTGGTGCAACTTAATCTGTTTAAAAGTGAGCAGTGGGCCAGGGATTTAGCTCAGTGGTTCCGCTGCCTGCCTCATAAGTGCAAGGTTCCGAGTTTGATCCCTGGTAGCAAAATAAATAAATAAATAAATAAATAATGTAAGGAGGATAAAGAAGGCTTATGCAACATAAAAGACAGTTTGCCAGAAACATGGAGATAGATTTTGTGGAGCTGGGAAGGGGACTTGGGAATAAGGAGAAATAGGAGGGGGAAGTAAAAAGCTTTGAGATGTGATAGGTATATGTACCAGTACCCTACAACGAATACACCATATTCATTATGTCTGGCAAACATATCCTAATAAAAAAAGGAAAAAAGAAGGCACAGAGAAGGTAAATTTGATATGTCAGAGGCCTCCACAGGCCTAAAGTATGAAGGATTTCAAAGTATCAGAACCTTATGGCAGGGGGTAGCTGTGGGAGAAGAGAAACGGAGGCCTGAGCTCACACTGCCTCAAAGATTTCTTTTGACTATCCTAGGCAGAACTCAGAGGAAGAGCAACATGTCACAGCCTCCTGATCTAGAGAAGAGGATGAAGGACTAGAGATAAACCTGAAGTACTGTGAAGCTTTTAGCTCACTGGGATGCTTTACTCTTTTCCTTTGGAAAAAGACTGAGATGATTAAAGGGTATTTTTTTTTAGCCTAAATGATTTACTTTCTAAAATTTATGTTATGAGTTAAATGACTCATATTACAAGTTTTAGAAAAACAGGAATTATACACATATACTCCTGTGATGTCAAACCTCACAGTTAAACTGTCCACATTACTTAGAACTACAACATGGTTCATAAAATATTGGGTTCCTAAGAAGGAAAGAACAGTATAGTCAAATAAAGATGTATTAGTTTTTATCCACTTCTATATAACAAAGTAATTCAATTCAGATTTTCACAAAATTTGGAAATATTGTGGATCATCTGACTTACCAGGTGACTATGGAATAGAAATGAAGTTAAGTTTAGCCTGGTAATCGGTAGTAGGTCTCTATCCCAGTAGTTACCAGTGCTGATTTGCTAAGAAACTGCTTGGGCACAGCTCAATCTATGCAGCATGCGTAAGAGTGAGCAGCAGAAGGAGGAATTAATTCAGAGATGGTCCATTATACTCTTGAATGAAGGCGGGTTAGATAATTAGTGTATAAGCATAAATAATCAATGTTTAATACCCCACACTGTGGCTGAGGAGTAAAATTTTGCCTAAGTTATGCCAACCTTTTTCAATCTCTCAGGGAGATATCATGAGAAATGTGGAATGCACATGGTATCTCATAAACAGAAATTTAAGAACTTAAAAAAAATAAGTTCTGCAGCACATGCTAATATTTTAAATTAATTATTTAATTTATTTCAATTTTGCATCACAGTTCGGCCCTAAAATTCTATTCACATAGGAAACACATGTGTTTATGCTATGGTGTGCAATGAGATGGTATGTAAGTTTTTCTTTTGCACTAATTTTTCCAATTTGTGGTATATGGTATAATTTTAAAGGATTTTTATTCATAATGCTCAAAAATTTAGTCATTTTCATCTTTACGGTTAGGCCACTGATTTTTATGGAAAGCTAGTATTTCAGCACAGTTCATGTCTACAAGAAACGGACAGACTCTTCTTCTGCTTAGAATTCAGTTGACATAACTTGTCATTTAAAGTGGTATTTCAGAATATTACCACTTAGAATAGTTTGTTTCTATAGATAATTCACAGAAGCAGATGGAGAGGGAAAAAAAGGCGAAGGACAGTGATTTCCTGGGGTTTAGAGTAAAGACATCCTACAAAATGTGAAATTCATCATGCTATTTCATTTGAATCGCAGTAATTTTGAATTCTTGCAGAAATCCCCTCCCCCAAATGACTACACCAAACATGGAATATCTAATTCCTTTTGGCTTTAGTTTGGTACTAAATACTGTCTAATGTAGGGAATCCCAGTAATGGTTTAGTAATTACTTCCTTCTCCCACCGAGGCACTAACATTTTTCTTACTTCTCTTTGATCCCTATTACCTAGCTCAGGGCTGGGCACACATTAGCTACTCAATAAATCCAAACTAAAAAAAAAAGGCAGGCAAAAACAAAGTAGACAACAAAGTAGACAACAACGTAGGCAACAGTAGATCGAGGCCTGTTTTAAATGGTTTCAGCGAGTCATCATCCTCGACAAAGTGAATCCTGGCTGGCTGTCACATGGGTCCCAGTATCTCCAAGTTACCCAGATAACTGAGAAAGCCTTTGGCATCCATCATCAATCCAGACAGTCAAAATAAAATACAGACTTTCATCTCAAGCTGGGCTGTGGATGTCTGGGTTCTGAACAGCATCACATCAAACATATAACTGAATTCAAGTGCTTTGGGGACTCAGCAGGTCACACTCTGGAAACTGGATCTCAGAAAAATCTAGAGAACTTCTCCAGACTGCCCATCTAACCCACAAGCTCAGGGCTAGCATGAGAATCCAGTCCATGAAACATCATGATTTTGAAGACTCATCCCTGAGATTTTGTAACAACTAAGTCAGAAAATAAGTACAACATATAACAGATAATAAAACCTTAAAATGCCATTAAGTCTTAAGAGAGCAGAAATAACCCTCAGTAAAAACAGCAAAACTCCAAATGTCAAAGAAGTTTGCAGTGTCTCTCTTGAGACTAAGGAATCAGAGAACGTGTTCAAACCTGCAAATGCCTTTGTAGTTACTTCCTACCTTAAATACATTGATAGGCAGATCAATGACCACATAGATAAGGTCTCCAAGGGCAAGGCTGGCTATCAGCGCGTTGGGGCCATTCCTCATACACTTGTTCTGATAAATGATCCTGAGCAGAGTTGCATTCCCCACCATTCCCACGATGAAAATAGTACAAGATATCACGGTGTTAATGTATTTGAAAGCTGCAGTAATTTTAGTCTGCTGTGGACAATAGCTGTGCAGGGAGCCATTGCTGGGTAGGGCCAAGTTAGTGGGTCGATGCGTGGTGACCAGAAAGTGGAGCTCTGTCCCGTGGAAAGTGGTGAAGTTGTCCACATGATTGTTTAGATTTGTGCTGTGTCTCTCAGGGTTATCACTGATTACATATCCCACCAGTGCCAGCCAAAAGGACGCCCTGAGCCCAAAGGTTTCCATCTTGATGCAAATTTGAGGAAATGCCTGATGGTACTACTTGTACACCTAGAAAAAGAAAGGAAAGAAATTATTTTTGTTAGAAAAGCCAGCTGGCAAAACAATCAGTGATTATTTACTGGCTTAAAATGTAAGTTATATTTGGTAAATAGGTAAGAGATATCTATGTCAGGTTACCCCATGGCAGAATACAGCAAAGAGAAAAACCAAAGATTTATTAGGGCAAGACCTCTCTCTCCCTCTCTCCCTCTTTCCTCTCTCTCTCTCTCTCTCTCTCTCTCTCTCTCTCTCTCACACACACACACACACACACACACACACAGGTACACACATCCCTATCGCTTTATCATCTCTATCCAAAGTTATATATGTCCAGACCATAATATGGATGAGGATATGTCCGTTTTTCCTTAAAGTAGTAGTTACTTTTTTCCCCTCTCTTTCCAGGCTGACAAGAATCTGACTTACAAAAAACTTCGAGAGTTGAGAGGTGCAAAATTTTATGTATTGTTAACACTATCATTACATTATTATTATTATGGCATTGGGGATCGAACCCACAAGCTTCCTTTGCACTGAGCTACGTCTCTAACCCTTTTCTTATTTTTTATTTTGAGGCAGGGTCTCCCTAAGTTGCTAAGTTGCCCAGGCTGGGCTGAATTTACTATCCTCTTGCTTCACTCTCCCAGAGTGCTGGGATTACTGGCCACGCCACCACATCCAATTCAAAATTTTCTGAGATAAAGCATTATATATCAAGTAAAAGTTGTGGTGTCCAGACTAATCCAATATGATGTAATTGATAAAGACCAAATGTTTATTTTGAAAACCTTGATGAGTAATGTGTGACATTTATGTCTTCTAACAGGAGTTTTTGCTGCTCCATGCAACAGAAATTATTGTCACAATATTAGCTGAGGAGTGCAATGGGAATAAAGTACTTTTCTAGACTAGTCATAGTGCTTGGTTTTCAAGGGCTCCCATCACCATACTGTCTTTCCTGTCATGAGGATTTGGAAACAGAGGCTCAGAAAGGTGAAGTAGCTTGTCAAGGTCACAGGGGCTGGTGGCAATGCTACACTTCTAAACTGGGTTAGTTTGATTCCCAGCCTGAGCTCTTAAACACTAGACCACCCTATCTCTCTCATTTTTGTGCTTTATTTAAACCTACAACACATTAAAGAAATCTCCAGAGTTCAGATGAAGCAACAGACTAGGGAGAGTGGTTAGACATTTTCAAAAGACCACCTGTGTGGTTTTTGTTCAGTCATTTGCAAAAAGCAAGTGAGCTCTCTTACCAGGCAAGTCTAGGTTTTTCCTTTAATCCTTAAGAATAGACACTGGAGAAAACCAGGAAAGTTGGTGGTGACAGAATAATCAAAGGTAAATCAATGGGGCCCCTCCTATTTCAATATTTTGTACACTTACTTTTCCATGGGCTTTTTAGTAACGTTTAAATGAAAACCATAAATTCATCTGTGCAGCGATGTGCATGTCTATGACACAAATACATGAGTCTTAATTTAATTTTAACAAATTGTGTGCTTTTTCTGAGTCTATTCAACAAAGCTATTGGCCACTTTAAGAATTTTGACAGTTATCATGGGGGATCATTAAGCTTAGGTTTAGCCAATATGGGAAAAAAATAAGATACAGTCAAGTGGTATAGAAGGTATAAGACAAATACAAACTGTAGTACTGCACACTTTTGCCTTCCCCTGAGATTTTTCTCCAAGAACCTGAAATAATGCAGCATTTTACACAGAGTGGCATATTATACATGTATCTGTTATCTGACTTGAGCTACAACTCAACAATAGGTAGGCAGAAGCAATATCCCCATTTTACCTAAGGGAAACTGAGTCTTCAAGTTAAGTGATTATGTCAAGATTTTACAACTAAGGAGTGACAGGACAGTTATAGTATCTCACAACTTGGTTATACAACTTCACTTGCTCTGATTAGGTAAAAAAAGAGAAAAAAATAATGAATTTTTCGAAGTTAGGGACATGCCCTGCACTTCTCAGTTGGATCAAAGCTTAATTAGTAGTTTGCAGTTTTTTTGTTTTCCTGCCTTTTATTGTCTGGTGTGTCCGAACAAATATCAGTAGACCTGCCGTTTCCATTCCAAAGTGGAGACCAGAACTCCAAGAGCAAAGCTTATTGTCACCCTCTTCTTTGATCGCAAAGAGGGCGAAAAGAAATTCTTCAATATCTTACACTGTTTAGTGACTACATCCTCCTCGTTCCCCAATTGGAAAGGAATATTCAGCAATAGTTTTCTTAAGAATGAGAGACAAAGGCCTTTTCCAGGAATGGAGTGGCTCCTTACCCGTTAGAGTCAGCTAGAGGGTTACTTCCTGAACTGAGGTGGCTATCAGGGGCATGGTGCCACTCAGCAAAGATTAGCATGCCGATTGCTTGGTCAGCTGGTTGCAGGAGCTAAGAAGGCCAAGGTTATGGTTCTTACCATGGCCCTACCTAGCTACCATTAAGACCATCTTAATACTGGAATAGTTTCTCTAGTGTGAGGAACTGAAAGTGTAAACAAGGACTAAAAGGTATAACAGATAATGTGAAATAGGAAGAAAAGGGGCAAAGGGGAAGGGGAAGTGGGAGGGGTAGGGGAAAGGAAAGAAGGGAATGGAATTAATATGAGAAAATGAAAAAATGGAAACAAAGTCTTTGTAAATAGGGAGGGATGGAGGGGTTGAAGGGAGGGCAAGGGAAGGGGGAAAAATAAGAACAAAGAGAGATTATGTAAAGGTGCAAATTCCCAATGATGTGAATGTCAGTATATTGTATACCTAAAATGTACCAATAAAATTATTTTTTTTAAAAAAGACCATCTTTCTTCCAACAATGGCACTACTGTAGAAACAGTTTCTGATGAAATCTTTGTCAGTTCTCCACACACATTAAGCTACAAAGCTAAGGGACATTTGTCAGAGGCATGTGGATACCATATTGTCATTGAGTGAAAAAACCCCTTTCTGCCTAATGCTGTGTACCAACTGAGCTATTTTGGCTCTCCCAGAAAAAACCCCGTTCAAATGCATGTTCTTTCAAGGGTGGGTCTATACCTCACTTCCATGCCTCTGAGTCACACTTGCTTTGAATCATAGTCATAATCAGCCACTGCTCTAGTTGAAGTTTCTCAGGTTTAGACCTGAAGGACAAGGTCTATAGATTTCAGCGTTCTTCCTTTTTGGGGTTCAAGAGTTTGCTGGAGCACAAAAGCTATTACTAAGCAAGTAGACTGAATCCGTATGCTTCCCCATTAACCGTTTAACAAATGGGACTCTCAGGATCCAAGTTTACCTGTGAGTAGTAATTTGGAAATTCCAACCTTGCCAAATTGCTCTGAGTTTCACGCAGGTAATTTACATGAAAAGATTGTCAAGGTGTTGCTCAATTAGCTAAGACTTAAAACAGAAGGGGTGTTGGTGGGAGGAAACAAGCAAATGAGAAGGGGGGGGGGAGACAGAGGGAGAGAGAGAGAGAGAGAGAGAGGGAGAGAGGGAGAGAGGGAGAGAGGGAGAGAAATAAAGAAACCCAGGAAGTTTTTACAAGTTTTCTGTGGTTTTGTTCTCAGGGTAAGAAATTAGCCACGTTGCCCGGCTTTAATCTCCTCTCCACTGTGGGGGAAGCCGTTAGGAGGTGTAAACAGAGGCTGATTATCTAAAAACAGCCCTGGTTTTCTGCGGGTGAGAGGCAGTAAGTGCCTGTTAAAGGACAGCACAGAACAAAACGCTCAGACCTCCAGCAAGCAGCTTTCCCAAACTCCTACACCAAGACATCAGTTCCTCCCACCGAGAAGCGTCAAGCCCAGGGTATGCAGGGAGAGCGGCTTTACGGGGTGACAACTTCACCAGGAGGCTCTGGGGCCAGCGGCCAGGGGCCAGACGTTCCACTGAGTTCTTGCAGGTCTGGGGGAAAGGGACGCCCAGGAAGAATTATTTGGCCTCTTTCTGCTACAATGCCGAACCCCGCCTCGGGAGGGGGTGCTTCCATCAGTTCTCCAAAGCGAGCGCACCCCTCCCAGGAACGCGCTCCCCCCAGGCGGCCCGGGCAGGGCAGGTGGGTGCCAGTCCCACTGCGGCTGGGCGAGAAACTCCCGGACGGTGTCTCCCACACCCCAGCCCAGCCCAGCCCAGCCCAGCCCAGCCCAGCCCAGACTCGCAGACTTGCACCGACCGTGGAGCGCCTGGGCCCGGGGAGCCGCGGGCGGCGAGGGCGGGCTGCGCGAAGGTGTCCGGTGTCCGGTGTCCGGGGCGGCGGGGCGCAGCCTCTCTGGGGAGGTCTCGCAGAGCCTCCAGTCTCAGGGACGGCCGGCGGGGGGGTGGGGGTGGATGGAGCCTCCCCACCTCTTCTCCGCAATCGCCGGACCGCAGGGATGACTGAGCGCGGGCGAGGGCTCGCAAGAAAAGGAAAACTCGGGAGGAACACGCCTCCTCCGCCCGTGGCGTCCTCCTCCCAGGGTTCCCAGACCTTCTACCTCTTTCTAGGACTGCCAGAGCGTCCTAACCTACCAGTCCTCCGGGGAGGAAGACAGGAGGAGCAGAAAAATGCCGCCCCCTTCCAGGCCCTGGAGGGCAGGAGTCTTTTAACTATTTCCTTCCTGAAATGAAATCAGGGTGGGCCCAGGGGGAGGGGGAAAGTTAACAGAGCAGACTGGAGAAGCTGGGCCCCTGGGTCACTTAGTGCGGGCAGGTCTGGGCTGAGCTGGAACAGCCAGGGACAGCCAGCGCCCAAGGGTGGCTGCTCCTCCGCCTTCCCTTTGCTTGACCTGGGCTCGCCCTCCCCAGTTCACAGGAAGTTAGGAAGCCCAAGGGGACCATAGGTTTCTGGATCAAGTGAGAGTTGCTTGTGTGTTGTCCCTGGAAGCCAGTGCCCCAAGACTACACACCTCTAGCCTGGGGCCAAGGAGGTGGCCCAGGAGAGGGTGTAGAAGGCCCTTAGGTGTGGCTCACTGAATTTATGCTGCCTGGAGAAATTCAATGAGGATACATACCCTGCAGAAGGTGGTGCTCCACGTCTTTATCGTGGCCGGAACTGTATCCTAAATCCGCGGTGGTGGGTGGGAAAGGAGAAGAGAGCAGAAGACCATTGTCTGTAACCTATGAGAAAAATGGCTGCTCTCGGGGAGAGCCTGGCTTGCAGTGGTGGACTGTGGCAAGGCGAGATTGGAACCTGGTCACATCACATCACAGACTGCTCTGGTTATCTCTTTCAGCTAATAAGTCATCTACCGTGAAGGAGAGTGGCTTAAAATAACACGCGGTCACTTTGCCTGTAGGTCTGCAGTTTGGGCAGGGCTTGTCTGGGACAGAGCGTTTCTGTACTGGGTAGCTAGAAATACAGAGCATATAATTCCGAGACAGTTCACATGCTTAGTTTTTCTGTGTGCGTGTCTCTCCACAAAAGTAGTTTGGGCTTCACACAGTGTCACTGGCTAAGTTCCAAGAATGAGTGTCCCAAGAGACAGGAAGTGGAGGTTGCCAGATTCTTAGGGTCTGGGCCCAGAACCGGTCCCAAGGTCCTTCCAGTAGTGGAGTAGTCACAGATTCCAGATTCAAGGTGAGAGTGTGGAGACCCCACCTGTCAAAGACTTAGGGAGCATTTCGTAAAACCATTAAAGAGGTCCACAGAATACCACTATTGAAAGGGATCTTCAGGGTCCTTTTGCTCCTGTTGGACTGGCACTTTCCCCTGTATTCTACCTATAGCTTCTCTAAGAAGGAGGGTTAATCAGCTGGAATAACCTAAGTGCCTTAGTTTGAGTTTAAAAGGGGGGAACTTCTGGGCACTTGGCTTGGCAAGCTGACAGTATTTTCCAGGAAGAAAGTTACTGCCTTCTCCCAGAAGAGGCAGTTCACAACTTGGTATGTAAAACCTGAGGGAATTCAGCCCTTACCCTATGACCAGGAGCAACTACACAATGCACAACATGCACAACCACACATGTCAGTCGTCTGGTCTTTGTTAGAGTGTATCCAGCAGTCCCTATGTTTTGAGACAGAGGATCCCACTGTGGTGTGGGATGAGTTCTTAAAAATTTTTCCTTCACACCCAAAGGATGGTTATTATAAACCAAAACCAAAGTCAAAATAGCAGGTGCTGACAAGAATGTTGAGAGATTGGAATACTTGGGTATTGCTGGTAGGAATGTAAAATAGTGCAGCAGCTGTTAAAAACAGCATGGAAGTCTTCAAAATATTATCATTATTATTTTTGTGGTCTTGGGGATTGAATCCAGGGCCTTCAAACTGAGCTACATCCCCAGCCCCTTTTTAATTTTGTTTTTTTTAAAGTTTGAGACAAGATCTTGCTAAGTTGCTAAATTGCTCAACTGGCCTGAAACTTGTGATCCTCTTTGCTCAGCTTCCCATGGTGCTGGCATTATAGGCTTGCACCACTGCATCTGGCTAATTAATCCTTAAAATAGCAAATAGAACACTTCTACGTAACCTGTGAAATTTACTTATGGATGTACATTTAAAATAATTGAAACAGGGGTTTGGACAATATATGCCCACCAATGTTAAGAGCAGCATTAGTTGTAATAGGCAAAAGATAAGAACAGCAAAAATGTCCACTGATGAATAAATAAACAAAATGTGATACATACATCCAATAGCATCTTCAGCCTTAACAAAGAATGAAATACTGATACATGAATGAAAGCCTACAGCATGGATGAACTTTGAAGACAATATGCTAAGTGAAATAAGCCAGACACAAAAGAACATATATTATATTGTAAAACGACAAAGCCAGAGCAGTTTAAAGACCTTAATTGGCTTTATTTATGATTCTAGAGTCAGGCTGCACTTCATTCTATAAAAGAATAGAACTTTTCTTTTTTTGTAGCACCTAGTTTTGCACTCAAGGTCTTTACACTGTATGTCCCCAGCCCTTTTTATTTTTTATTTTGAGACAGGGTCTCACTAAGTTGCTAAGTTGCCCAAGCTGGGCTCAAACTCGCAATCCTCCTGTCTCAGTCTCCCAGAGTGCTGGAATAGCAGGCATGGGCCACTACCTCTGGCTGGAATAAGTGTGGTGATGGGCTGCAGAAGAGGTTGGTTTTGTAGATACAGAAAAGCTGAAGGAAGCAGAAACAAAAGAACAAAAAATGGTTTGCTCCTTTAAAGTTACTTTCCTTGTAAGGTGGGACAGGGAGACAGAATAGTAGACAAATAACTGGTTACTGAGAGTTTACTTCAAGGTTATCTGTGTGTGTGTGTGTGTGTGTAAGGTGTAAGGCAGAGGATATCTCATTATCATGCCAGTTACACTATCTGCTGGGGAAATTTGGCTGATAGCCTTCTGCTTTTGATTTCTTGGAAGATTGGAGAAACAGCTTAGTTTCAGCTTGATGGCAGGGGACTTTAGTGTGTGTGACTCCATTTTGAGTTTTAGCTCGGTTGGTTCAAGAGCTGAGTCTGAAAAATAGCTTCCTGTGATTTTTATTTAACCATATGATTCCAGTTATGTGAGGAATCTAAAACCATTAAATTCATAATGAGAGAAGGTAGGATAGTGACTAACAGGAGCATGGAGAATGGGGACTTGTTTATGTATTTGAGGGAGGGCTGCGTGACAGTGTGAATGTCCATAGTGGCAGTGAAGTGTGCACGTAAAATGGTTACGATGATGCATTTATAGTACGTATATTTACCATAATAAAATTTCTTTTCCTGACGCAAGATGAAACCTCCTTCTCTAAGTTACCTGTTGATCTCTCCTCTGAGTTCCTAAAATGAGTTTACTGACTCTTCCAAGAAAGATCTTCAAATATACATAAATGTGTTTATATGAGTCACGAGCATAGATCTGCTTTTGAAAGAGACTGGGGTTTCCTCATCCTAGGTGAGAACAGTATGAACATCCCTCCTCACTGGCAATTTATCTCACCTTCTGTGTTTCACTTTGGAGAAAATGACTTTAGTGAACCGAGACCAGTGTTTGGCAAAGCTCACTCCTCCTTGTAGGCAAGACCTCATAAACTTGCCCCACCTCTTTATTCCCTGATTTATACTTATAAAGAGCACATAACTAACATATTTAGCTAAGTTTTCAATTTGACTTCAAAAGGTTGTTTCTTTTCCTTGGCAGGTGGATTGGATGCAGATTTGCAAGTTGTCTGGATTTGGGGGAAACTTTCTCAATCGCACCCGACTTCCGGTTCAAGCGGCCCATTAGGCAGAGCGTTACGGTAATGGGATTTACGGTGACTTCTCCTAGCATCACATCATATCGATTTCCTGCAGAATAATTGCTGTAGATTAAGAAGTACCTAGGATATCACTTAAAACCCAATTTTTCATGTTTCCTTTGGGCAAATGGTCTTCTAAATTTAAACTTCTTGGTTGAAATTTGCAAATCCATTTCACAACTACTAACTCCTAAGAACCTCAATTTTGAAATGCAATAAAACATTTGCATTTCACAGCATTTGCAGGGAATATTGTGTGCAGTTTTGAATTTTCCGGGGGAAAGGAAACCTGAAGAATTCAAAGAACCACAAAGGACAGCTGCAAAGGTGGTTGTGCACGCAAAAGCTAGAGCTGAGGACATGTTCATCAGAGACACAAGACTGAAATTGTCACTGAAGCCTTCACACAAGGGAGTGCGGTAGCTAAGACTATTGGCAGCAAATGCCCCTGGCCTGAAGAGGAAAAGACAAATTCTGAGTTGAAAATCTTCTTTCTGATACTAGGGCTGAACCCAGAGCCTGAGGACTAAACTGCATCCCCAGCACTTTTCAAATTAAATTCAAAATTTTAGATTGTGAGACAGGGTCTCACTAAATTGCTAAAATACCCATCTGGCCTCTGACTCACAATCTTCCTTCCCTAGCCTCCCAGAGTGGATTACAGGTGTGCGCCATCATCCCTGGGTGAAGGTCCATTTTAAATTAAAACTCACTATAGGCAGTTTGTTTCCAAAAGGAAATATGGGTAACCCTTGAACAAATTGGGGGTTAGGGACACTGGCCCCAACAGGTCTATGTATAACATTTTTAGGAAAAAATATATTAAGGCTTTTATTAACAGGTCCTTGCACTTTGGAGACTCTTTTTGAGAAACTCAAGTTATAGACTTTTATTATAATTTCAGATGAAGTTCTTGAAAGTCTCAACTTGGCCAGATATGAAACAAATTTAAAGGCCTTTAAAAGTGTGTTCAGAGCCTCATCCAGAAGGGGAGGGATTCAGACCTTGGCCCAGGGCAGCTTCAGGGCTCACGCTGCCCCAAGGATTCTGTACCCGGGGAGTGTATGGAGAAAGCAGTCACTGATGGAGTCCCTGAAAAGCACTGCAGACTAGGAGAGAAAGCACGAGGA